CAGGCAAAAAATGTTAGTATTTATAAATAAAACAAGGGAAATTTTTCCAGCATGAGTGAAGAAACAGACAAATGTCACTGTTTAGTTGAGCATCTTTGACTATTGCCTAGTCCAATAGCATCTCATCATCACTGAACTGTCAGCAGAGGTTCCGGACATGGGGGCCCGAAAGTGCATCACGCAAACTCAGGGAAAGGCAGTGATAAGATTTTCCCGTTTTTCTTTGCCACTACCATGTCATAATCTCTTTAGTTTACAGTTCATTTTAGAATGCATTTCAGTCTACAGCAAACTGTAGGAGACACTTGGAGGTAACAGAAGGTGATAAGCAATAATTTTAAAAGAGTAGCAAGAGTTCACTTTAAATTTTGTTTTACAAATGTTTGCGACATTGATGACCCTTTAGTTAGGTGTATAAGCTCCTTCATAGCTCTCTTCTAAAAATTTGCCCCCTTTTTTCCCCCTCACTGTGGTATTGTGCTGTAAACATGGACTGCTGTCTGTTGTAAGACAATAATAGAATGTGGGCTTAGTCAGCCAAATGCATGTATTTTCTCTCTGCTTCCATTGAGAAAAAAGAGGTTCAGGAGAGAGGGGAAAGCTGCTGTCTTCTTCCTGGTGCCCCAGACCTTCAAGCTGGAATTAATGGCCTGGCCTTTGCACTTGTTTTTCACTTGTTTGTGGCAGTCTTCTGCAAGTGTCTTTTAAGACCAAGAATGTATTTTTTGATATCAAATAAAACTTACAAATATTGATAGTGCCCTAGGAAAAATAAAAAAACAAACATAAAGGTTATATTTTTTTAATTTAAAAATGCATCCTTTCTACTTCAAATTTATAACAAAATGTGTACAAAACCTTTGGGATATGGTGAGGATATTTAGTGGAGATAAGGTGTTAGTGACACACACTACAAGATTCTCCTTATGTGTATGACTATCATATTATACACTAGGAAGACATTATGCGTTCACTTAAATGTCATCCAAAATCACACGGTTATTTTATTTTGTACTTAAATAATGGACTCCTTATTCCACCGTATTATCCATTAGCTAAGTATTATAGTCTTACAGGGTTTTGAGTTTTTGTTTTGTTCTGAATGTCTGTATTTGTCTCTTCCCATACATTTCAGTTTCCACTTTAGTATGCCGTAGAATCTGACAGAAAGGATTTAAGTCACCTACTATGTTTAGTGATGTGAGTAAAAATTGATATTGACACAAATTAGTGAATTACTGGAAGCAGTTTGGTTTAAGGAGTTTGGCTGTTTGGGTTTCTAGAGTAAAGCTTTAGGACTTAGCTATAAAAATTACTCATATTTGTCAACTTAGAAGAAATCTGGAAAGATAACTGGTGGGGCTGGTTCTGTACCTTCCAAGGAAATACACTGAGGTGGCTGCAGAGCAAATTCAGTGCCTGTATGCTATAAAGGAAGGGGTCAGTGTATTTTCTAATAGAGCAACTGACACGTGAGGGTACGTGGGTCTGCTTCCTTTGCGCACTAGCATAGGGTTCTTGTGAGTTTTTCCTTTTTATTCCCCCAGTATGTGAAGAAGGCAGAAGGGGCCTGTGGTTTGCTCAAGAATCAAATGATCCACATCTTCAGACACATTAGGCAACCCTGTAACATCATTGGCCTGTTAAGTTATTTTCCCTCTTTCTTGTACCTAAATTTGGTTTTCAATGACTCCAGTACACAAAGCACATATCCGTATTGCCTATTAGATAAATACATAGCACACAAAATGTTATAATGGTTGACTATGTCAAAATGTATACACATATTTTACCATTTCTGCTTACTGATTTTTTTTCTGTTAACTAAAATCCCTGCAATTATTGTAACTTGAATTTATCTATGGGCTTCTATTGAAGATGGTTTTTAACCATTTCCTAGGTCAAGAACATGTTAAACTAAACATGTACCACATGTCATTTTGATTTTATTAGTAACTTGAAAGCATTTGAAAATTGAAAATTAGAAAATAACTAGAAGAGAACCATGTTTTTTTAAATTCAATTTATAAAATGACTGTGGTTTCCATAGTTCTGATTTTAAAAGTCTATATCAAAGTTTCAAAAGCCTTCCTATTATTTTAATTAATTACATTTCATTTTATGACACAGTTTTTCATAGGGTCTGGGATTCTCCCAATTCCTCCCCATGACCTTCCCCCATGGTGGATTCCTCCACTTTGTTGCAGTATTACAATTTAAATCCAGTCAAGATTCTTTCATTGCAAGCATATACCAAGCATAAAGTCCAGCATCTTATTGTCCAGATAAGTTCAACAGTTTCTTGGGGAGACCATCTCTGGTCTGAAGACATAGCTGGCAGAATATCATCCCATCCAATTAAAAGCCCCAACACAACATTAACAACAATTTACAACATTATGGAGTTAATTGACATGGTATTGAGTAATCAATATGTTAGAAAATGCAAGTTCTTAACCACATCCTGTGACTACTTCGTTGACATTTCAATTTTAGTTTATATACGGCCGACTTCTATACACCTTAAAATATAAAGCCCTCCTATTTTAATGTAAGCTTTTCAGACTTGTCAAAATCTTGGGCCAAGTCACAATAGTCTAATCTTAAGAGAAATAATTTCTGTTAACACCTTTCCCCTTGTCTTCTACAATATCAGAATTGACTCTTAGGTGTCAAGTAAGATGGACTTTCCTCATTGCTCTAGAAAGAACATTGCATTAGAAAGAACAAGAATTTTTTAAAGGTAAATTATTCGGGTGGAAAATGTTTTAAAAATATTATACAGATCACATATATATGTATGATGCATGCATTTAGATAAGTAGTACAGATTCCATGGTAGCACACATAAAAATGATAGAGCCTGAAAATATTGAAAAATATTTTTATTACATTCAATTAACTTACTGTCCAGGTTTGGGGAAGGACTGTAGCATAATTTTAGCTTTCAATTACTAGCCACTTTCTGATCTTCTATGAGTGGGTTTGACTGAGTGTCCTAATGAAGAAAAGCAGAGAAGGAGACTGTTAGTAATAACAATCATACAATAAGGTATTAGCCAACAGAACTAACATCCATAGCCTACTTCTATCAGTTTTCAAAGACAGCTTCCTATAAATACCATGCTATTATTATCATCTTAGGAATGAGAAAACAGAAATGAAATGGATGCAGTGTGGTAGTCCCTTTAGCACACTAGAACAAAACACCGTCAACCAGGTGGCTTACAAATAAGAGAAATTTCTTTCTAACAATTTTGGGAAATGACTGTAAATTCAAGCTGAAGATGCTGCAGATTTCATGTCTGGGAAACATGTCTGGGTTTATGAATGGCACCTTCTCATCATGCCCTCACATGAAGCAAAGAGCAGCCAAGCTTTCTAAGCCTCTTTTACAAGGCTGTTAATCCCTTTCACAACCTACTTACCTTACAAAAAGGTATTCAAGAGGCATTTGGGGGGAGACACAAGCATTCCATCCTGGTGGGCAGGAACTACAAGTCTTACTTTACAAGTATGGGTTCCTTTTAACAATCATCTTTCTCCTATCATTTTTTCCACCTAAAAAGTGACTCAGGCACACCTTAAAGCAAAATTACTTCAGGTCCAACTTTAGCATCTAATATTACCAGTTGCTGAAAGCTCAGTTGTTAGTCCTATTTCACAATTAACAAGAAATGGTTATATAGAATATATAGAAAGTTTGGTCACAAAATTAATAATCATTTCTTAAGATCACTCATCTTTTGCATAATATAACCCCTAGAGCCTGAATATCTGTGGGTCTTCCCTGCCACCCACATGTATGTGTTGTATCCTAAACTTCGATGTGGCCTGTGGATGGTGATCATGAAAATGCAGCCCTTTCTACCACATTAGGACACCAAGGGAAGGCATAATCTGTGAACTAGCTAGAGAGCCCTCAGAAGATGCCAAAAATTCCAGCATCTTGGTCTTGTGCTGTCTGGCCAACAGAACTACAAGAAATAAAGTTCTGTTGTGAACAAGCTACCCAGTGTGTGATTTGTTCTAATAGCAGCCCAGGTGAGCTAAGGACAGTGATAATGAGTGATGATGTTTTATGCCAACACTGCCCAACCCTTTATCAAACTCTGATTAGGTAGCAAAATAAAAACTGTTGCTATGACTGTAACTCGTCCTTACTCATATTCCCCCCAAAATCTGTTGCTTTTCTCTTATTATTTAATCCTATGAGAAGTTAAAGATTGACTTAATAAGTAGACCACTTATTTTACCAGGAAATACAAATTGAGAGAAGAAATTGAAATCACCAATCGATAACCTAAATTCTGGTTTTAAAAAATCCAGTTTCTTATCTCGTCAATACTAGTAATGAACAGAAACAGCACTGGCTTTCAAGAATATCCCAAAATGAATGCATACACAATAGAATCCAAAGTTCCTGCATTTTTCTGGGGTTGAGGTTCAGAGAAGTCAGGTGCGAGAGGCAGATGTATGAGCAGCACATTTTTCCCTATTAACTAAAGAGGATAGAGGACACACAGAATCTATATTTTCCACAAATCACACCTCAAAAGTAGATTTTCTTTCGTTAGTTCATGCTCTCCACATTTTTAGACATTTATGGATGCAACATATCATTGAATAAGAATGCATTCACATTGCTGTTTTTCAGAACATCTCACTAAATTTTGTTAATCCATTTCTAGCCAGTGGGGAATCTAGCTGTTACCTCATTGCTAAGCCTCAATTAAACGTTTATGGACATGTTTTATGATTTGCTAATCTGTTCTGTGAAACCATCAGTCTGTTTGCAATGGGGAGGAAGTGGGAGGGAGGACTGGAGGGGGTCATTCTGTTTGCTGTGTTGGTGGAGGGCAGGGTTGGGGGATGAAGACTGGTCATGGCATCGATCTAAGATGTACCCTCAAGGGCTCACATTTGACCCTTGTGTACAAATCAGTGTTAGTATTTTCAGTGATCGTACCTGATTTTCTTATTTTATATTTTTTCCACAGGGGAAGTCTCTCACGTCAAAGAGATTAACAAGCCTCGTTCAGTCTTACTGAAAGGAAGCTGACTCGTAGCATGGGAGCCGATTGGAGTTGTTGCACAGAATTTATAGCTCCTTCTTTCCACCTGGAGCAGAGGACATTAGAACAAGGTGTTGCATGAGCAAAGGACCTGAATTGTTACTTCTGTGTGTGCACATTAAGGCATTACCATCTTCAAGAGACTCTACCATCTCAATGCCTCCATTTCAAAATGTTGTCTGCTTTCCTCTTCCTTCTACTATACTGGATCTGTGTATTTTCCTTTTTAACAAGTTCAAGTGAAGTAAAACCTTTCCGTTTTTGTTTTTGTTTTGTTTTTGCTCCTCTCTCCTCTTAAAGCTTCTAGTAGACACACAGGTCACTGAAATTCAGTCACAAACTGGAAGAATTATAAAAGAAAATATAAGTATATATCAATAAGTATACACATGGCTTCACATTTATTAAACAATAAATTAGCACAGAAAGTATCATCTCACAGATGTATTCACGTTCACAGCAAGCTCATGTCTTTGTTGTTCGGATATTCTCAGTTGATGTCTCTGGCATTTATTTTTATACCATGTTTAAACAAAAACACCTTTTACTCCAGATGTATTAAAGTTGATCCCTTCTCTGTAAATTTGTGTATGTTTATATTGTTGTTTTATCTTTCATTAAAAGATGCAGAATCTCATTGCTTTTGTAAGTTTTGACTTCCACGGTAACTGAAAACAAGAATGCTAAGATTACATTCATAGTCATTGCAGTTTAAGGGACTGCCCTGAAACGTGTTTCAAGGTTTCCAGACAAGGTTGGCTCTAATAACAATCAGAAACAGATGAAAACCACGTGGAGTCTAGCTTGGGACAAAGTATTCTTTTTCTTCCATGAAATTCCAACACAAATTGGCCTTCCTCATTTTCATAGTTATTAAATGAAGACCTTTTGCCAAAATATGAACATGTGTGTTATGATGATAAGTATTTCTTTTTTTAGAAAAAAGATCTTTAGGTCCTTTAACTTTCTAGTGGTTACAGATTCCTTAGCGAGAGTCATGTGCTCACTCATATTTAGGGAGTATTTACTTAATGCCCGTCTCTGTCTTACAGTCTTTTGTGCCACAGCAGTCCTAAGAATAATTTCTACAATTTTCAAAACATTGAAGCAAACAGAGATAAGTAATTGATTTGAAATCATATGCACAAATACTGAGATCAGGTTAGAAGGAAGTAAAGAAATATTTTCTTGACTCCCAATAAGAGTTCCGTAACAAACAATTAACATGGAAATAAAGCATAGAGAAATATTTATGTGAAGTTCCATAGAACACATGAGCCTTTCTAATAAAATGAATCCATTAAAAATGATTAAAGTAGAATAGATCTACACTAGGTTTGAGTAGAGAAAGAATAGGACAAAGGGGTGTGATCTAAGGGTACTAAATGGGGTGGGGGTGGAATTTAAGAGGACTTGTTTTGTAAGTTTCCCTTAGTGTCTCCCCATCTTCAGAGATAAGGATGTGTCTCTCATCCAGAGAGAACAGTTTTCATTGTGGATTCTTGTGACCTCATCCTGGAGGACAACAACATTCCCTTTCCTGCCATATCTCAAATATCTGCAGGATAGAACATGCCGTATGCTGAAGTGCTGTATACTGTGATAGTCTGGGAAGAGCCCTGTTAGCACACAAATCCAGCCAGTCCGACCACAGCCTCCATTATATTACACCTGTCTGCTGTACCACACAACTGGAAACGTTGTCATTAGCAGCACAGTCCACAATAGCGAAGGCACAGAAATAACCCAGATCCCCATTAAGAGACGAAAAGATAACGAGATTGTGATAGATCTACTCCATGGAATACAACTCAGCCATTAAAAAGAATAGGATTCTACCATTTACAATAAAATGCTCCCAACACTCAATCAAATTACACTCAATCAAATAAGTCAATCTCAAGGGGACAAATATCCTATGTTCTCTCTAATATAAGGTAATGTTAATGCAAAATATGAAACAAATGGGGCCCGACACGGTGGCCCAGCAGCTCAAGTCCTCACCTTGAATGCGCCAGGATCCCATATGGGCACCAATTCTAATCCTGGCAGCTCCACTTTCCATCCAGCTCCCTGCTTGTGGCTTGGGAAAGCAGTTGAGGAAAATTCAAAGCCTTGGGACCCTGCACCCGTGTGGGAGACCTGGAAGAAGTTCTTGGCTTCTGGCATCAGATCAGCGCTGCAGCCACTTGGGGAGTGAATCATTGGATGGAAGATCTTCCTCTCTGTCTCTCCTCCTCTCTGTATATCTGATTTTGCAATAAAAATGAATAAATCATATATACATATATGTAAGTGGATATTTAGGTAAACATGTATATACACAAATTCTCATAGATGAACTCATAATGGAGACTAGCATACCAGGAAATAGATATATTACAGTATGCATCTCTACTCCTGAATAAAAGAAGGACTGCCAATGAAACTGTTAACGACTATGCCTTGATAGTATCAAAGTAGATTTTTAACCATTTTTTATACCTACAATGCCATGATATGCTTAAGCAGCAACATATTGGACTTGTGACTGATGTGTTGCACTAATATGGGGCGGGGGGGAATGGGGAGGAAGGGGGAATGGGGAGGAAGGGGGAATGGGGAGGAAGGGGGAATGTTGAGGAATGGGGAATGTGGAGGAAGGGGGAATGTGGAGGAAGGGGGAATGCGGAGGAAGGGGGAATGCGGAGCAAGGGGGAATGACAGGGGCGAGGGAATGGGGAGGAAGGGGGAATGGGGAGGAAGGGGGAATGGGGAGGAAGGGGGAATGACAGGGGCAGGGGGAATGGGGAGGAAGGGGGAATGACAGGGGCGGGGGGAATGGAGAGGCAGGGGGAATGGGGAGGAAGGGCGTTAAGAGGACAATCTCTATACCTATAAAATCACATTATGGAAAACAAAAATTAAAAATATCCCCCAAAGTTGTTGGACAAATCATGGGAAAATCCACAGACGGTCTGACAGAAAACATTTGTGCTGAAATTTAGAACATTCACAGACAAGCCTTTGGACTTCCTCATTGGGCCCCAGGTAAGAAATCTGATCCACTGGACTGATGACCAAAAACCTTACCTACCCAGGAGATGGGTCTGACCTGCTTGCTTTTACATATACTAACGTATTGCTGCGTTTTGTTTTATCGTGTTCTTGTCTGAATGGCAGAATTACCAAGAAGAAGAGAAAGAGAGAATCTCTTGTCTACTGGTTCACTGGTTAAATAGTGCCAACAGCCAGGCTGTGCAGTCAGAAGCCAGGAGCTAACAGCTACGTCCAGATCCTTTAGTGGGTACCTGGGCCCAGCATTTGGGCCATCTTCTACTGCTTTTCCAGGCACATTAATGGTGAGCTGGACTGCAAGGTAACTAGCCAGGTCTTGAACTGACACCCATATGTGATGCTATTGTTGTTGGCAGCAGCTTAACTCACTATACCACGTTACTGGTCTGAACTGTTTTTTTTTTTTTTTTTTTGTAAGATCAAATTGTTATCACCTATTAATTACCTTGGTAAATAAAAATCATGGAAAATATAAGCAACATACATACATCCACAGTGGAGCCTTTTAATTAGGTAACACAACTGCTAAAAAAAAAAATTGAAAAAGCCCAGGTAAGAGAAATTTCTAATATAGTCTACAGTCTAAACACTATACATCGTTTTTAAAAATGTGTCTATGCCGCATTTGAAGAATACATAATGAAGAGCAGCATCTCAAGCTTCCTTGTGCAGCAGGAAAAATAGGTGATGTTGAGAAAGGAAAGATTTCTGTTTGGAAACGTACACAGTACCATGCTGTGAAAAGGGCGGCACGCATAAGGCGGGACCAAAATTCCCTGGCCTGTTATGTGGAACACAGGTCAGGACCTTTGATCCTGTTAGACACCGACAAGCGCAGAGCACCTTCCATGGAGTATTTGGAGGACCTGGCCAGCATATTCCCAGAACCCAATGCTCTTCGGTGGTGTGAAGAAAAATGACAGCTTCTCTCTGAAAACAACAAAAAAAAGAAAAATAAAAAAATGTTTATGAACCATAAGTAGCCATGGCATTTTGTATTATAAATTAGAATTCTCATGATGGTGTGTGTGTGTGTGTAATTTAATTCTCTTACACCAATTTAGGTAATGAATGGCTGATAGAATTTTTGTCGGACAGTCCTATTTCAAAGTAAGAATGCCTCATGTGGTTAAATATTAGGTTGATTGAAATCTTGGTAACAATTCCAGGTTAGTAAATGTTCCATTTTCCCTTTTGAGAGATATAATATTCAACTTTTCTGTAAATTCTAACTACTGTCTCAAAACATTTTGGGAGATAGGATTTACATTTAAATACCGAGAAAAATATCGTCACTGACTCAGAACAAACACTCTGTGTTCTGATGTGAAAGGCAAAAGCTGAAGATGGGTAGTAATGTCCATTTCCTGTTTCCAGCCTTAACATGTAAAACTCATTAGAATTACCTGTATCTAAATGGTGCCCTTTACTTACTGAAACACGTTTTAGTGTGGCTTACATATATGATATAACGAATTCTTAACATTTCTGACAGTTTATACGTGATCTTTCAAGTCCAGTGCTTTAAAAATCATTGTGACCATAAAGAGTAACAAGTTAAATTTTACTTTTGAACTCTTCACTCTCTCAGCCTAAGATAATTCATGGTGGTCTGTTAAGTAACTACTTAGAAACTGACAATATTGTGTTAATGTTGTCGGATTGTGCTTAGAGATGGTGCCTGTGCTAACTCATTAAGACTCAAGAGGAGATAAATTTTAAAATTACAAGATCTTAAAATTTAGATAATTAAAAACAAAATTGCAGATAAAGAACAAAGCATGCCTAAGATGCAAATTAGTAGCCTTCCTTCCTTCCTTAAAATGCTTAATTCAGGACAGTCTGAAATTGACAGTATTGAGGCTAGCTTAAACTTCTAATTCATCAAAACATTACTTTCAGGAAAATATTCGTCTTATTTAGAAAATGTAAAATGTAAGCAGTGTATTGTGCACAGATAAGAATAGTTATTTCTGTGCCTGTCCTTCATAAATCGTCAGTTCTTTAAGCCCATCCTGACTGCCAATTCGGAATTAGACATTCAAGCAGAATGGAATGGTAAAAATGTAAGCAAAGACGGCATAGAATGGAGGCACTCAGTCTAGTATTCCTATTTCAAAATCTCCTAAAACATCACGTTTCTGGGCTTAAGTACATAAAAGTTTTAAAAGGCCTAGTGAATCCACATAATATAAATCCACATAATATAAATCCATATTTAATTTGAATACCAAACAGCATATTTAAGAAAAATCGTATGGAAAGTGTTCTGGAGTCATTTAGATTTCACTCTACAAAACCCTTGGCATATGCCTCCTGTGTCACCAGAGGACACTTTAATCTTTAGGACTACAATAGAAATCTCTGTAATTGCTACTGAGTAAAATTATTTCTGATTTTTTTTCCCTACTTCATTGTCATCTTAAAAATTGTGATCCAATGATCCAGAGGTTCTCTACTCACTTTGAGAAATTATTTTTGCTATTTAAATCATATTTACCCAACTATCCCCTTGGAATTATT